AATGCTTTCTGTTAATTCCTGAACAGTAAAAGGAACTCGGAACAGAGCGCAGTGGGGGTGAAGCCGTGTCGGTGGTGCTTCCTACAAACCTGAGTGCCGCATCCAGACATGGGTGAAACAAGAGCTTCGGGAGGCAGCTCGTCCTGTACATAATCGCTTTCCCTTTCCTTACTCTGTTTTACATCCTGCCTGCATTATAACTTCCGAGCTGCTAACCTGTGCGTTCCGAGTGTTTGGCACTGAGCACTGGCGAGTCTTGCTTATTTTAACCTGGTAGAGGTTCGTGGTGCTTTAGGCAAAACACGTTGGTTTTCTAGCAGGTATTCACAGAGCGGAGCCCTCTAAAATACACTAGAGGATTATTAATCCCATCGGGCAGAATTACACTCTTTTATTTGTCATTTCCATGGGAAAAACGGGAAAGAATCAAGTGTTTCTGTGAATTCTTGTGGAAGCCTTCAGTCTTTTCAAATGAAAATGAACAAGATTTTAAAAGGGGTAAAAATAGTTGCCTGCCTTTTGTGCCTTACAGTGGGTACGGCCTGGCTTTTGTTCCAAATTCCTCCTTACGTAACAGCAAGGGGGATGTACTGGACACAGCCAGTGAGATCCTTCTGGGCTGCCGTGCAGTGCTGAACGTTGCAGGGAACTTAGGGAGCGCTTGTGGTTAGATCTGGACGGGCACAGCGGAGCTTTCAGCAGCGCATCTCTAGAGCAGAGTGGTGGATGAGGAAGGTGTTACAGTTGAGGGAGAAGTGGTAAAGTTCACCTTTGGACATAAAGTTACCACTAGATTTTTGATGTTCCTTTGTACAGGGGTGAGTTTTGCTGTTAGACATCACATACGTTTTAAAAAAAAAAAAAAGCTGTTATCGCGTAACCTGCTGAGCTCACTTAATTTGATAAACCACACGGATTTTACTTATAGGAATCCATAATATATACTCATACCGTACAAAAGCGAAGCCTTTGTGATAGGAAATCATGTTCTGAAGCAACATCTGTTGGATCTCGTGGAGGAATATTATGAAAATCCAAGTATGGCGATTAAAAACGGGCAAGCCACCAGCTTGGAAACTAATGGATTTGTACGTGTGGGATCACTGCAAACCAGCAGTTAGTCATATCCCACCAAAAGAAAAAGAATCAGGATGTGGAATTTCATGACGCTTTTCAATGCCAGTGACAACTGCAGGTTTAATTCCT